CAGTTTTTCTTTTTAAATGACCCAAAACCGAAGCGTTTATGTAAGTTTGCAACCATAAGGATTTAAATGTAATGTATTATAACCTGGGAGAAAAATAAAATAAAATTAAGAGACTTTAAAAAATGAAGTTTCTCTCTACTGAAACCAAATAATGTAAAAAAAAATATATGAAAAGATAAAGACGTTAAACATGAAAAATATTACAAAATAAAAAAAACTACAATATGAAAATATATAAGAACAAATAAAATATGAGTCTGTAAATTAATGGAAAAATGGAAAATTAAATAAAATATTACAGGAAAAATATTAGAAATATTAAGTTGTAGTAAAAAAGAAAAACTATATGAGTAAAAAAAATTAATAAATATTAAAAGTAAATGAAAATGGACAGAAGACACTTCAAAAATAAGAAAAATATTCTTTAGAAAGTTATGAAAGTAAAAAAAAAAGCTTGGGTTTCTCTGAACATTTATATTTCTGAATTAAAAATATGTTTTCATTATTTTCCTCCAAGATTTCCAGAACAAAATTCAACTTTTTTTTTTGTGTTTTTCTCCTTCCAACAAGCTTTAAAATCCTTTATTCTCTAAATGAACGTTTTGGTGAATGAAAACTTTGTTTTTCCTGAAGGAAAGTGAAATCGTTTGCTTGTTCTGGGTGTAATAAAGGTTAAACACATCTGTTAAACACCCAAATTGTAAGAAACTTCTATCTGTCAAACAAACACTTACTCACTTCACTCCCCCGTCTCTGCAGACACACACTCACACACACACACTCACACACACACACACACACACACACACACTCTCACACACACACACTCACCCAGGTTGCGTTTACACTTCACTGAGTTTTCACCATTCATCGTCTCCCTCATGTCGCCCCCTCCCCGCCGCCTCCCCTCACTCTCGCTGTCTCTTTTCAGAGCTTTTGTTTGCCCTCTGCCACCGTCCTTTCACCGACTTGGCCCCGATTTGCCCCTTGTGCTCGATCACGCCATTATACTGAGACAAGATAGCACAAAATATCCAAACATGTCTGCTTTTCTTTTGTCTGGACTCGGCTCTCGTCACCGGGCAGCTTTTTTTTTTTTTTTTTCTTTTTTTTTTTCTTCCATTATTCTTACCGGTTTGGCCAGCTTAGAAAAAAAAAAAAACCAGGATGAAGGTTGTCTGAAAGTGTAAAAATGTGGAGGAAAGCTGCTGCCCTCGGTCGGTGTGAGGTTTCTATCAGAGTTACCCGAGGAAGTGCCTAAACTGTTGCAGACGCGAACAATGGCAGACAAAAGGTCATCGTGAGAATCCGCTACCGCCGGCCGTAGCCACGAGGCAGCGACCCCGCTTCCACCTTAATGCCCTCCCACACACACACACACACACTCGGCTCCGCATCCCCGTCTCTCCCTCGCAGCCATCCAGGTGATCCGCTTGGCTCACATTCATGAGACAGGGAGCGAGCGCGAGCAGTTATCGTCCAATAGGGAGAATGTCCCGGCTCATTATCGGCGTAGGAGGCCGAGCGTGTCACCTGGAGCTAAGCCTCGACACTTGACTTTAAAAAAGAGGGAAAAAAGTCAGCCGGGGTGAGCGCGAGAGCGCCAACGTGGGTGTTAGTCATTCTCCCTGCAGCGATCACCTCCACAGAGCTGCTTCTCTCTGGCTCTGACACTCAAGCAGGAAGGCCTTTTAACACAGCCTCCTGTGGGCTCTGGTTTAGCTACTTGGGGATTGTTAAATAAATGTGATTATACCTGTTAGTTTGCTGAAATGATTTTCCCCAGCACCTGCAGGTAAAACACAGCTGAGCTGAGGTTTGTTAGGCTGAAATCTGTTTTATTTCAAGTCTTGACTGGTGCAACACGTCCATTCCTCCTGCTGCCGAAAGATTTAGGAGTAAAGCAGCAGCAAATCAAAAGCCTTGTAGTGACTAATCATCATCAAGTGGGCAAACGTATGGATACCAAGAGTTTGTGCTGCTCTACAGTTTAATGTAAATGTGAAAAACGCTTTCTGGATCAGATATTAAGGACGTTTCAAAGCCAGTTTTAAACAACTTGATTGGACATTGCAGCTAAAACACCCTGATATCAAAATGCATGATGCTCAAAAACCACCATCCTGGACTCCACTGGCCTAAATTAGCAGGTTAAATATTACAGAACAATCAGAGAAAGATGTGGAAGGCTGTTCTTGAGGAAACCTCATCCCTACTATGTTGCACGGTGGTGGAGGGCTCATGATTTGGGTTTGTTTTGTAGTGATTCAGTTGACCATGAATACCTCTGGCCAAAGTATTGGTGAGGCAAATCTGAGTCCATCGTGCAGCATCAAGGTGTTGCAATGGCCCAATCAAAGTCCAGACCTCAGAGTGATTGAAATGCTGTTGGGGGACCTGAAGAGGTCTTTGCGTCAGTTGGAGTTATTCCTGCTAATGGTGGATTGTTGGGTGTCCAGTCCTGGATTGACAGTTGTAGAAACCTTGATGCCAAACCTTCAGCTGGAAACGCGAGAAGTGCCAGAATTGGTCACTGATTATTCCTTTGAATTACTTTTTCTCTGAATGCTTCCAACCATTTAGCCACAGTTGATTATAACTCCACCATTGACAGCATGTTTTTTTGCTGTCAAGCCCTTCATAAACACAATTATTTTAGACCTGAGGTTTGTTACTTTAATTCCCCCTGCGTCTTTGTCATATCTGAACTGTCTGTGCCTTCTACCAAGTCGCTCCAGTCAGATTCCCTTCCAACCACCCTAATCGATACACAATATCAGCCCTGGCTCTGCTCCTTTTCTCCACTAAATGACAGAATAATACCACGTTATGTCAGATACTCTAAAAGCATGTGTCATTTTAATTATCTGCAAAGCTCAACTCGAAGGGAAGAAACAGGTAGCAGAAGAAAAAAACGAGCGTCATCCATAATTTGCTTTTGTCAAGGATGACACTTAAGGTAAGAAAAGGACAGAAGAGGCATTTTGAGGAGTAAACATTATCTCCTTTTTGTCTTCTTCTCTCCCAAAAGACACAAAAGGCTGATTAAGACCGATGTTCGGGGGAGATGAAAAAGCTGCCTGCGAAATATTAGTAGGTTAGAATTACTTTGTTGCGTGACACAATACCAATAGATGCTTGGCGCTCGCAGAGGGAGCGGCTCCTGTCAGCGGTGGCACCTCAACAATGGGCAGCTTTCTCCGTGTTAAGACTGCGCGTTTGACTTGACGAGCGCCCCGCTGTCATTTTGCCTTCTTGGAGGTGCGCGTTGACAGCTGACGTTCGGAGATGATTTTGCGTTCAGACAGTTCAGCGCCTCCCCCGTTTTGCTCGGAAGCAGCAAAAAACGCTCCAAACTTGGGACAAAAATAACCGAAAGTCCCGAGAAGTTAGCTGGATCGGCAAGGGCAGCGTTCCCCTCATTCCCTATGTGGGAAGTCAGGAACGGTGCGCTTTGCTGTGCCTGGATGTGTGCGGAAACAAAAAGAAGCTCCCTCACTCCTTTTATTGGGGAAGAATGGGCCCTTTAAAACCTGTCCAGCCTTAGATAATTTCATTCAGCCGGCCCCTGCTCCGCCGTCATTGAATCTGCATCCAGGGATCAGGTTCACAGGGATGGGTTGATAGCTTCCCAAGCCTCTCCGCCTTTTGTTCTAGCAGCAACCCCCCTCTTTCCTCTGGAAGCTGGGAGGGAGGGACACAGAGCTGACGGGACAGACATGGCTGAGAACGGTTTGGAAATGTGCAAGGATGCAAAACTTTAAAATAACAGGAGAAAACTTTTGATGAAACATCCAAACAGGTACAGAGCTGTTTGGTGGATGTGGACCACCCAGGAACTCCCAGCATCTCCAGCCTGGGTTGCCTTTTTTGTCATCCGCAAGGAGCATTACTGAGTCTGAACTTGCCTAAACCCTTGTGATCACACCTCTTGAAAAGGTTTTGTTTCCTCCGCCGATTGGTATTCGAGGCAGGTCACCGCTCTCCCACCCTCCTGCTCCTCCTCCTCCCTCCTCGCTCCCCCGTCTGAAAGCCCCGTTTTCATTTTAATTTGCACCTGTTGTGCAGTTGTTCGCTGGAGGCAAGTGCAGACCGGTCAGTCGCAGGGAGACGTGTTAGGAGGAGCGGCAGGGAGGCTTATCTTTTCATATGCATGATGTTTTCAGAAATGTCATGCGTGGACATCGTTTGGTTGGCACTCTTGTTTCGAAACGGTCCAAGAGCTCCTACTTTTGCATAAAGACACTTTAATTAGGCTTGTTGTCCTAAAAGGGCTACAAAGTTCACTGTCCTGCCTCGTTATTCTGTAGTATTAACTCTATCTGAACGTATTGATTGCAGCAGAAGTTTGAAGCTCTGCCAATGAGGTGTGTCTCCACGCGATGCCATGCGCTCCTGGCTCGCCTCGTGCTGCATCTGCGCCGCCCCAATAAGCCCACCGACGTCCGTTTTCTGCAGTGGTTTACGCCGAGGCGTGTATGCGCTGAAGAACAGCCGTTGGCGGTGACAAATTTGCGCGAGAGCCACCTTTGATTGAGTTCACAGCCCTTATTTACAGGCTGTCTATTTTAAGAAAGCCAGGCATATGTCAGGGACCTGTGTGCTGAGGAAGCAGCTGTGTGTGTGTGTGTGTGTGCTGCCTTTATGATCAAAAAGCATTTAGATTTACAGTATCATATGAAATAATCAAAATGACTATAAGTTAAGCCTGTTGCGGTACCGTATCTGCTATGTGGAGCATCTAAAGCCCGGGTGGCATGTTTCAGAGCCGAGCCGTTCTGAAAGGTGCAGCTCAGCGGCATCTGAGGCATGTGAGCAGGACTGAAAATTAGCGGCTATTTTGGCCCGCATCTCCTGGACAGCTGTCTGCCCACCGCTGCGGTTCAGCTACAAATTCCAGTCGCAGATGCTGTAATTGGGTTGTAAACCCCCCAGCCGAAGTCCAAATAAGTTCCCAGTACTGACCGGCTTTTCTCTGTCCACTCTCTCTTTCTTGTTTGCAGCTCTTAACTATGAGAATGTGGTGGAGACGGGCTCAGAGACAGAGGAGGAGGACAAGCTGCCCGTGTCCGAGGAGGACCCCCTGATCAACGGCACGGGCAGCCCGGCGAGCCTCACCAACCCCGAGGCGTCGCCGCGCGCCGAGAGCCACGGCCTGCTGACCAAGGACGAAGAGGACGACGAGATGCGGGACAGCGGCGTGGAGCACATCTGGCCTGACAACGACATCCTGAGTGCCTCGGTCGACGGTACTGGTGAGTGTCCAAAGCCTCAACCCTGAAGTCTGCAACGCATTTTGCACATGGTTTCATCTAAACCACATTTGTTTGTGTGAAAACCAATTTTAAGAGCCTGGTTGATGGCAGATGGTAAAAAAGGTGGATTTGATGAAGGAAAGAGGTGCAGAAGGGCTGGGAAGTTTCATCCTGAGTTACCTTGAATCCCTTCTTGGGCTGGAGGAAGGATTTGATTCAAGTTGACTTTACATAATCAATAAAAATCAATCGTAAAGGACGGTGAGCTTCTATAGAGTCCGCAGTGCGGTGCACAGTCCCTGACGAGACAGGTGGAGCGTCTACGATATTCCACTAAACTAATTCTTTCTTTTGCTTTTCTTAGTCTCACCAGATGTTTGAGGTTCAGGTGAGCTTCCAATCCCCAAAAACTACCCCTTAAGCTGAATCCCGGGCGCTTTGTGTGCACATCCTGCCACTTGTGGAACTTATCTTATGCCATAAACCCCACCCATCTGGTGCTGGTGTAGACTCAAGCAAACGGCACGGAGCGTTTTGCAAACAGCGATCAAAGCCGGGTCTGACGACGATGCCCCCCCTCCATCTCGGCAGACAGACGTGATAAACAGTTTCTCCACGAGCGGCAGTGGACCATTTGGTTAGCGCTTAGAGAAAAGACCCGCTCTGAGCCAAACAGCGGAAAATATTTACAGTAATGTAGGAAAAAACAATGCAGGAAGGAGGCAAAGCTGCAGATTGTGCAGGAGATGCAAGACATTAAAGGTTGGCAGGTGATACCTCCCCAAACCTGACTGAGTGATGGTCTTTTGTTGAGCAGCTCCCATTTCAGGGGGTGCCAGTCACGGATGCTTGAAAGATAAATACTTTTAATTAGGGGGCAGGGTATAATCATTAAAGGAAGGCAGACTGCTGCAAAAAAAGGTCATTAACAATCTTAAATGAAATTTTTATTTTTATGATAGCCATTTACATGTATAATAAGAGTCAATGATTCTTGGAAGCATGTGACAGGAACAGAGTATGGCGAGAAGTCATGTAAGACAGCCCATCTAAATGAGCCGGGCCTCGCTATTCATTTCTGCTAATGAACTGGCTGTGCACGGCGCCGAAAGAACGGGGGAACATTCAGCAGTCTTAAATTTTAATACGGAGGGTGTGGGAGGGGGTGGAGTTGCGCATTTATTAGGGACGGAAGAAAGAAAAAAACTTCTTCTAAATAACGCTTCGTGTTGGCTGCTTAAGGGGTGGAAGAAAGAGGAGACGGTTTGGTAAATAAATCAAGATAAAGGATAAACAAGCTGTCATTGCATACGGTAATTGTTTATTTGATAAAGACCTGCGGTGCCATAATGTCTGTAATTCAACTATGTTGCAATTTCCAGATAATCTGCTTCTTGTGTGATAAACTGGCTGACATATTTCGGAGAGCAAGTCAAGTTCATTAGAGCGTTTGGGAGTCTCTTTCCCAATCTTGCGGCTGCTGTGTTTCCCAGCCGGACTTTTTTCTTTTTTTTCTTCCTCCACGGTGCCTTAGTGTCTACAGTGATACCTCAGCACATAGCTCGGGCCTGAGATAAGTCGGCACCCTCCCTCCTTGCTTCACGATTCTGCTGTCACTCCCCTATCAGGAGTTGTTATACAGGTCTCCGAATGAGACAGAGTGTAGAGGACAGAGACGTTTGTTGGGTCTCTGGGGGTCTGCGTTCAGGTGAAACCTTCATGGGACGTATTCTTTGAGCTTCTGGTGAAAGAAGACGATAAAGACAGTAAAGTAAAGTTTATCAGGGATCTCTCTCTGATTCCAGGGTACAATCTTGCGCCTGGCGTTGTCCTTGACATTCCTCAATCCCACAGCGAAGCTGGACGCAATGTGCTGGAAAGCATGACATCATTATCACTGACAGACGTTCTCAAATAAATCACCTGCTCTTTTCTAGCTGTTCTCCAGAAGGTCGGGAAGATTTCTGCCTGTTTGGCTGGTTGTTTTCTGGAAGAGGGCATGTTCTGTTCCCCCAGAAGGTGCATCCCTTCCTGATTCAACAGAAATATTCCTGCTCCTAGCTTTTCTCCTCATTTTCTCCTGTTGCAACTCGCGGGGAAGCTGATTGAAACAGACGTACGATTCTGGAAGAAAGATGTGTTGAATGGCTCGGTTACTACATTTCGGTGTCTAGATGTGAAATACTGTCAGCTGTTTATATGCAAAAAAAACACCAATAGAAATAGAAACTGTGTCCTTTTCCTTTAAGTAATCATTACAGTTTGTGGTGGTCTGTACAATTGTACAGAAATCTACCTAAATTTGAGTTGGCAACGTGACAAGACCTGGACAGTAAAGTGATATGGATTCCTCTGTAAGCCGTTCCACAATAGACGTACTGTTTCAGACGTCAATCCAGCCGGCCAAGACTTAGATTCCCTGTTATTTGCTTCTTAAAACACAGAATATAACCTGCAGTTCAACAACCGTTTACTCAGACCTGACAGATTCAGGATACCCAAGGCTAAAACGCACTAAAGTCGTGGGGGTAGACTTTAAAAGATCCTGCAACTGCGGTGACTGGCCGTAAAAATAGGAATGTTTTGAAAATAAACACCATCAGAGCGACTATGAAAATAGGTGGAATTACAGTCGGGCCCCACTGAGGTAGTCTGGGCTCCTCCTGAGCCCCTTCAGACCCCAACATCACTCTTCAAGGAGGTGTCTGGAGTCGCCTGTGATTTACTGCTAACAAAATACCACCAAAAATGCTTCCCAGGGACACAACATGCGCATATATTTGGCATAGATGTGGAAATTCTGGCTTCTTTTTGCAGTTTCTGGTGATTCCGCCACAATGACACTGAATCTAGCCCACAGATCTGTGTGTGTGTGTGTGTGTGTGTGTGTGTGTGTGTGTGTGTGTGTGTGTGTGTGTGTATACACACACACACACAGCCTGAGAGGTGTGCGCGGTGTTAGCCTACCTCCTACTGGAAGCAGCCGCTCTCAGACAACCGCAGATAACCAAAAGTTTTCCAAGGTAAACAGAGGGAGAGTGAAGGGCCAGTTAATCCCACCGGTCATCCCTCCACGTCAGCCCGAAAGCATGCAGGCAAATTTGATTACCCAAAGCAAACACGGTGCCTACGAGGACGCGGAAATGCGGGGGAGTTCTTGCCCCTGTTGGGAGGTTTTTGTACATGCAGATATCTGATACCTGTGGGGTTATTTTAATCTGTTTTGACTGCCTTTGTTTATGTATTTAGTTTCCCATACATGTACAGGAAGGGAAGAAAGACAGCAAGACGTTACCCTACCCATCTGAAGAGTCTGTCATTATTCTGTAAACCCTTTGACCGAGATATTTATCATCCCACCACCGAAGCCATGCCTCTAATTCCGAGCAAACCCTGGAATTGCGAGCTCCACAAACTGTCGAGCCCCATTGTTTTCGGCTGAAAATAAAAATTCCTGCTGCTTCTGGCCTTTGTGTGCAGTAATGTAAGCAGGACGACATTATTATCAACATGCACTCCCACAACCCTTTCCTGTATTATCCCCGTCAGGTTCCTCCGATCTCCAGAAACGGATGCATTAGTATGGATATGAAACTTGCCCTTGTGCACGAGCAGCACATGTTCTCGGAAGCACCTTGATTTGATTTGCACCAGCAGGGCGGGAAGGAGGGACTGGCGACTTCTTAGGCTGATTGTCCGCCCGGTGTCCTCGTGTGGAGGAAAAATTTGTCAAGAGAGGGTTTGTTTATGAGCCTCTCTCAATCCGCTGTTTATTTACAGCTGCCTCACCTGTGCCAGGACAATATGAGTCTGTCTGCACGGGCACGCTGCCATTACCCTGATTAGGCCTGCTCCGTGTGGCCTCACAGGCACAAAAACACAGATTTCTAGAGGTTTGCTCTTTAATTATGACCTAGCGATGGATCAAAAAGGTTGTCTGGATGTCTTTCTGTCTCTTTATGGTCAAAAACTCACGTCCTCCTTCAGTATCATGCATGTAAAAGTTAGAATTAAAGGCCTCGCCTGCCCATTTTGTTGCTTGAAAACACTAACTCCTTCGCCCCGCCCACTTGAGGTCTACCCTGGACCGATGAGGTTATTTCTGCTGCCGAGAAATGTTCCTGCAGCTACAACTGCTCATTTGTGGTCGAGGGTTTGTATTCTTTTTAGTTCCAGGAGCGAGGCACCGACTCTCTGCCGGGGCTTTGCGGCGAATCACAAAAATGCGAGCGCTTTTCACAATGGCTCGGATAGAGAGGCATCCACCACGTGACGTGCGATAAAGCAGGCGTGATCGCGCATGCAGAGGACTGCAGCGGCGTCACAGCCGGGGAGTAATAAGCTCAGCCTGCGTGTTGGCTGGAGCTCTGTGATTGCTCAGGTGGATGTGCTCCGTGTTGTATTTAATCGCCGTGTTTGGCGACTGAAGCTTCCTTCGCCTCCCCTGCCGCTTGTTGTCATGTTAAAGGTAAATAAGTCACTGTCTGGCCCCGATGATAGCATTCATTAAGCATGCTGAACAAAGCAGCGGCACGCTGCGATGCACAGCGGTGCTTTTATTGCTTTCTCCATACCTTCTTCTTCTTCCTAAAGGCCTCATTGTCAGCATCGCTCACCCTCCCTACCTATTCTGTCTCTTCTGTGTTTGCAGATGAAATAAAAGATGATTTTGATGCCCTGGGGCCTGAAGCCACCTTGCAGGCAGTTGGAAACGGTACAGGTGAGTCAAGACCTCCCGTCTTTACCTTCTAATCTGCTCTCACTGATGTGTTGGATCAATCAGGACTAATCAAACATCAATACCATGAAAAACAATGAAGATTTGCTGCACAAAAGTGTTTTGTTTTAATGTAGCAGAAATATTCAGAAGAAATCTTTTCTGCTTAAATTGAAGCATGAAATGTTGAATTTCTACAATCTTTTGATACATTTTCTGAAATCAACATTCACACCAGTCCTGTTTAGTCCAGTTTGTTTGGCTAGAAAGTTGGGGAGGCAAGAACTCTGGTCCGCCTTCAAACCTCTGTCTTGGTTCAGTTGAAGTGAACTCTGGTGTGTTTTGAATGCATATGTGAACCGGAGACCGCTCCAAAAGCAGGAAGCGTACTACAGTGCAGGGAATTCTGGGTAAATTCATCCAAAACAAACATGTTAGCCTAGCGCTAACAAGAGAAATGCCGGTTGTAGAAGTTGTTGAACCGCTACAATCTGACGCTACTCCATTTTTGTTTCCGTTTCGTGAAGAAGGAAGTTGCGCTCAGTGTTTTGTGTTGTTTCCCTCAGTAGTTCTTGGTGCAGCGCCCCCACAGGCAAGGAGGGGAACATGTTTTTCAACTAGTTTGCATTGTTTGACAGTGCAGTGTGAAAGTGAACCACGCCGTAGCAAATGTTGCAACTTTGGTCGCCAGTTGAACCAAGTCTACCGGACTGTCAGGTGTGAATACACCCAAAGTCTGACGTTAGGTTAAATGTGGACAAGTCAAACAAAGAAAAGACCACTAAAAGCAAGATTGTGGCAACCAATCAGAACTAAAAAGTACTTGGTAAACGATAGTCGCAGAGCTGTAGCGCAGCAGAGAGGGTCGCAGCCAAACGTCATCGTCCTGTCAGACGTTATGCCACCTGTAGGCGGGTCATGTCTCAACGTTGGCACCTGAAAAACAGAAAAAACAAACCACAAATTATACAGTGTTTGTCCTGGTGAAGCTGAACCCGAGCTGCCGTGTCGCGTTCCGAGGTGTGGGGCTGATTTGCCGCCACACGCCCCTCCGTTCCATGATTTCATCCGGGCCACCTCAACAGTTGGCCTGGGCCGCTGCTCTGGTGAACCGAATTCACCCCACAGAACGCCACGCAGGCCCGCCTCAAAGCCTTCACTTCAGCTTTGATTACTCTCCGCTCGTTGTGGTGTTTTCTCTTCTCTCTCCCGCTCCAAATGCTGCAACTGTTTTCCATTTCAACCGCTTAAAAGGAGTTTTTCTTTTCTGGAAACGATGCAGTCGGAGCTCTCCGCCACTGGATCACATGTGATTCTGTTTAAAGGCATGAGCAGTTCGATCACGTCGCGGTGCCAAAGCACACTCTGATCCAGGTGATTTCCTGCGCTGCTGGAATAAAGGTTTCTCCCCTTATGCTTTCCACCCAAATGCGATACGTGGCGTTTGCTCTGTAGATTGGATTGAATGATCAATCGTCAACGCAACAATCTCAATTAGCTCAGCAGAATGCTGTAAATTCTGCCGTCACCCGTCTCCAAAGTGATCCATTGGCACCGGTGACATTTCAGTGCCATTTTTGACATCCAAATATCTACTACCTTGACCTTTTGCAAATTGGCTGCCGAACAAACCGCTCTTTAAACCTCACCTTGGCTCGTGGTTTAAAAGCCTCATTAACAGGGGAGGACGCCTGATGAGACGCCAAAACCGGCAAAAAGAAAGTCTGCAGGTTGCAAACGTCGAATGTTTGTGTGTTTCTGAAAGTCAGCTCGACTAATGAAGGCTGCCGTTTCCCTTTCTGCTCAGGTTTTTGGGGGTTTTTGTTTGTTTGCAGCTATCTCCAGGCTGCAGCTTAAGAGTTTCCCTGAAGAGAGGGGACTGGGAAATAATTTCACATTGTGTGGCCTCAGCACTTTGGCTGGCTTAAGACACGTTGGGCTCAGCCATGGCAGAGCGTGTCTCTTTTCTTCTCCTTTCGTGCTCCGGCTTGTGGTTTGGCCTCGGTAATCTGTTCGACACAGAACCAACAAAAGCCACGGCCTCTTGATTGACCTTTTATGTGAAAGCTGATAGAAAGAAACGTGGCGCTGCTGCTGATTAAGCCGTGATTGTGTATGTATGTGGGGTTGTACGTGAATGAGGGTGCTGTTTTTTTATTTTCCTGACATGAAAATCAGATTGTCTGTCTGAGGTAAATTAGGTCAGTGAAGTTTTCTCCTCAGCAGCTCATAGTGGCACATTTATCTCTGATTTTTGTCCGGATTAAGTTACAGTTCTTGTTTTAGCAGACATGGCATGACAAGCAAACCCGGTAATTTAGATGTATCCCCCCCAAAGCACTGCTGCAATGTTTCAGGGTGGCCATCTTCATCGCATTTCCTCCCCAATGTTCCCAATATTCTCCTGTAAGACATTTCTCTGGGGAGAAAAAAAAAGTGAATTGAATTTATCTCACTGCCTCTCCTTCTTCTTCTTCCTCCTCCTTCCTGTCTGCAGTCAAAAGCATGGATTGCACTTCAGAGCTGGAGGACTTCTTCGCCAAGCGAAAGCTGGACGACGGCGACAGCCACGTGGTGAGCATCGCCGAGTACCTGCAGCGCGGCGACACCGCCATCATTTACCCAGAAGCCCCGGAGGAGCTGAGCCGGCTGGGAACGCCGGAGGCAACGGGACCCGAGGAAAACGGTACGACTCCGGACAAACAGGGTTATTTCTGCATCACTTTGGACATTTAAACTCTAAAAATGTCATGGAAAAAATATTTCTGAGCGCATTCATCCGTTTTATTTTTATATTTAAGTCAATAACTTTATAAAACTTTTTCAGAACAATTTGGAGTATTTTTACTAATGTTTATTACAAAAAATATAAAGAAAAAATGTTTTTGTTTTGTAAAGTGTGAACACGTTTACATTCATGTGAATCATTTAATAATCTGAATTCATATCAAGTTGGAAGATTTACTGGATTGTTGAAGGTTTTAATTTTTGTCCAAAAACAGTAAATTTCTTCAAATTTGATATTTAAAAGTAGATACATTTAACATGTTTTATACTTTAGCAGTTTGCAATGCTCGTCCTTAGATGTGTCTTTCATTAAAACTCCTATCTAGAGGTAAATCCAGTTATTCCAGATGAAAATAACAATCTTTAAGCAGGTAATAAAAAATTAAGCTCATGTTTCTGTATTACAATGTGCTTTTTAATGGATCTAATGTAATATTGTAGTTTTAAAAGTAGAAAACTGACATATTTCACAGAAATAAAGGCTTTAAAACATAATATGTAAATTATCTAACGTTTTAGTAATATAAGTGTAAAGTAAAACACGTCTAAAATACAGTCAAGTCTTTCAAGCTTCAACATTTCCGTATTTACTCGATTTTGTTTTGAAAAGCTGCAGCTGCGAAACCCCCAAAACCAGCGTTTTACCATCTAAAACCTCCCGAAACGAAGCGTTTCGGTAATTCGTGAGAAAGCGTGAATCCCGCGGTAACAGCTTGTCCGGCTGGAATCTGTGGAAAAGTGAGCAGCGGCTCTTCCCGCTGACAGGAGCGGGCAGCTGTTGGTCCCACAGATTCGCTGGATGCCTGGGTGTTTACCTACAGCCTCACAGCAACAGCTGGGCAGCCTCTTGAAATCAGATAGCAGCACCTCCGAGGCAGGATTTGAACGCCTCGGTGATTCATGCGGCAGACATCTTGTGGCAGGAGGGGTGGATGGAGAATGTCAGTTTACAGGCGGGTTGGTCATAAAGGGGAGGAGGGTGAAGTCCAGCCGACGCAGGGCCGATCTGAGACTTTTTGGGGGCAGATTTTCATTTGTGGGCCCCCAAACCGTCAGGTCAACGCCAAACGCCTCGTCGTTCCTGTTCTGCTCAAAGTCTGTAACAAACCGTCATTTGTAATTAACTGACGTCTTACTGGTATTGGTATGAATATTGGTTTTAACCTCTCAAGTGTAGCAAACAAAAAAATTAGATTTTGAAATGTGCCTTATTAGGTTCAGTATTTGTTTTAGTTGTAATATGTTTCTCCAACAGTGTAGCAATTATAAAAATAAGACTAACATTTATATTATTCAATGTTGTTTAAAAAAATTAAATTACGTCACGTTACATTGTTGACAAGAAAAACCCTGCTTCCCAACGATGACTACCATTGGTTGTAGCTGTCTCATTGTCAACATGATGCACTAAACATTAAATGTACAAATGACATATAAAAGAAAAAGCGACAGTGTTTTGGTATTATTTGTCAACATTAAGACAACTAGAAAACAAGATCCAAGGTATCACATGTTACAGTCAGTAAAGTTTTAATCAAAAACAAAAATATAGCGAGGGGAGGGATGTTGGTCAGGTATGCTAGCTTGACTTTGACAAACTCAACACGTAGCTGTGCTGCAGAATAATCACAAAATAAACGTCAAGTCTGAAAACATAGCAGTAACAGGCTACATGTTCTGTTCTTTGTGTGTTAATTTGAATGTAATTTCTGCTCTGGCGGCTGGCGGAGCTGTTGTCAGTCAGTTGCTATGGCAACGGGTCTGTGTGTAGCATAAAAGAGCGAGAGAAAAAAATGGTTTTGAGTCGTTCCTCACTGTTTTTTCTGCGTTTTTCTGCAAAGGTTTTGACTTTAAAACAAGACATGTTGTTTTTTGTGGCGTTTTGTTTTATTAAACCATGAAGTTTGATCAGGCAGTGACTATTAATCACATTCAACTGATTCTAGACATTTCAAAAAGTTTTATTAGGTAAAATTAGCATTTCTACAAGTTTTGAGCGTTTCTAACATCTATTTTGATACAATTTTCCTAAAAACTCACCAAATGTTGTGAAACGAAGCCCAGGTTTTAACAACCCGTTCAAAAGAAACGCATTGCTTTTGTCTATAAGTCTAGATTTTTGCTCTGGGGGCCCCCTGGTGGTGTGGGGGCGCTAAGCAGCCACGTAGCTCGCATATTCCTTGGTCCAGCTCTGAGGGGATGCCGTCCTTGGACCAGATAGCACTCTGGGCACGCTGCCCG